GATGCCTTGTTTGACCTAGGTTTCGTGCTAGTTGGCACTCACCAGTCAGCAAGACGTATCTGCAACCTTGAAGTAGCTCATGTCCCTTCTGAGATTCGAACCCACGTCACCCAGTGCTTCAGTCAGAGACGTTACAACTGAGCTATTCGGACTCGCGAATGCAGCACTGGGTGACGTGGGTTCGAATCTCAGAAGGAACATGAGTTCCTTCAAGGTTGTAGATACGCTTTGCTGATTAGTGCCAACTAACACGAAACCTAAGTCCAAGGCTTCCTTCCGATTACCTCCAACCATCTAATATCATCAAATCAATGTGAACCGTGATCACGAGCCACCTAGAATGGTGGTTACATTACAAACCTGACTGACATAGAATTCAGTCTGCACCCGAGAAAGGACTAGACACATCACACTAGTTACTAGTGTCCAATCAAAATATCCACTACAGCCAACTAGCACGAAACCTAGGTACAAGGCTTCTTTCCGATTGCCTACAAACATCTGATATTATCAAATTTTATGTTATAATTGAATTATAATTGGCTTCATTAAATCTTCTGGATGGTTCGCAGCTGAAGAGAACCACATTGGACACAAAGTGGATTCATATTATTCTGCATCAGTATTTGTTTTGTCTCTAGTCAAATTTACAAAGGGAGACTCGTGTTTGAAGCATCATACAACATCATCTGGCTTTACAGCTGTCAAAAAGCTTTCTTCTCCTTTTTCATATGATCTTCTCCATGTGACTCTCGGATACGCGAGCTGTCACTCCTACTGGAAAGCTTTTCGTATGACACCACTCAAGCGTCTTCTCAGTGAACATCCAATCTATGACGATTTCCTTCTGAATAAACGATAGGTCCTTGACTGATTCGTTGCTCTGCTTGACTAGCCTACTGATATTTCTTTCTAGCCTACCATCTGGTCTGCAGTAGGAAGAGAAAACAGTTGTCCAGAAAAGTTTGCAGTGATCTGTTAAAAATGATTTCAGTTGTGTTCCACGTGTTTGTAACAAGCAGAGGCATTCACTTAACATTAGTATGTTGTTAATCATGCTAACTGATGCATACATCTAAAGGGATTTCAAAGTAATGCAACTCTGGTTGAATACACCTGAATCACCCTATTGAGCAAATAATAAAAGCTTCGTGGTTAGTAGTAGTGTGGTGAGAGCTGGCTGCTAGCCAAAAGTGGTAAACAGTAATTTACGTCAATGTTCGTGCCCTCCAATATTGGTCATCAGGAAAATAAGAACAAAGACTGATTCAACAACCAATCACAGAGGACTTAGTTTGTGTAGGCGGATACAATTAGCAGATAGATAATCTGAACTTCAAGAAACGGCCACAATAAGATAAAAGATTAACGTTCAGCGAGAAACCACCAATCAGAGGACTGTGTTTGTCTGCTTGAATAATCTACAATAATGTACATGAAAATCTGTAAATATCTGTTGGTTTCGTAAACAAACGATCTGTTGCTTGGCCCTTGTCTTCTGTCGTTACAGTAGTAGTATTCTAACGCTAGTGGGTGTTAACTTTTAACAAAGTATATACTATGATAAATAAATAAATATGTTGGTAAGAGGAGATTCTTGGAAAGATACTCAGTATTATTTTCTGTAGTCGTTTATTTGATATGTTTCAATTTCGATCACGAATCCATATCAGTTGGAGAACCATTGAAAACCAACTAGGATTAGTGAGCATCTATTTCGTCCTAGTTTGGGACTCATGAGCAGTGCGCAGCCTTGAGATGCCACTGGAGATAAAACCCAGGACCTTCCGGTTGTAAGGCAAACTCGTAGACCCGACTCAACGACTCATGAATTCCAGCCCTAACCTATTCGTGACTGACACAAGCCAATGTCATCGGCATGTATTTGTCCTGACTTCTGATCTGATGGTGGAACCCAATCATCACCACTTCCCACTAGAACCTCATGCAGGCAACTTTGTCCGGTAGCAAGTTACTACCGAGTATCGGATTAATTTTGCAAAAGCTTTTTTGTAAGGATCTGATTTATTTTGACCATTTTAGAGAACAATTAGAAAACGGGGAGTACTGGACATCTGTAACCAGAGAGCCCTGAGTTCTAACTCTAATGGATGCGTACTGCTGATAAGCCCAAAACTGGGATGAAATGGATTTCCAGTACTTCCTGACGGTTTTCCAATGCTTCTCCAACTGATAAGGATCCATGGTCAAGTATTAGAAACAAATCAAACCAACACAAACTAACTCTTAAAAAGTAATATAACACCCAGATAGTTGATTTCAGCGATACACTGGTACAAAGAATTGTGATGAAAATCTGAAAACCAAAAAAATTGGTTGTTTAGATGAATAAACTAAAATTGAATTCTCATGTCATCCACGCCTTATTCAGACTTTTAGAGCTGATTTGATCCTTTTTGGCTTTTGCTAGATTCAACACAAATATAATATTTGAAATACGATGAAATGATTCATGTGAACTCTGATTAAAAATTCACCCCAGACTTACAAATTTTAGTCTACTTTTGTTAAACACGGCAAACAGTGTCTACTTTTGCATCAGAATTTCGGTGATTACGTTCAACAAAAGTTCATGGTCGTAGATAACTGAATAGGATATATATATATATATATGCATGAGGTATAAAACGGTGTGTATGTGCATGTGTGTATGGGTAAACAGTTGTAAATCATTCGTTAGCCTCTCCATATGAGGATATAGATAACCGAGAGTTTAGATCAGGTATGACTGATTAGTGCGAACCAACCGGGAACCAACTGCGCAACAAATATGCAGGAAGAAATGAAGTTGGATCGGCCATACTCTGAAAAAACCATCAAATGACTGACATCACACGCCAGTCTCTCTCTCAAGTGGAAACCGAATGGAAGTCGACGAATTAGTTGGTCGTCAGTGAGAGGGTGACATGGAGGAGGTGATGTGAAAAGGAGATGAAAGTATGTGGATAGACGTGTCGACCAATGAAAACGCTGTCTGAGGACCGTGAGCAATGGACACGTGCGCCTGGAGTGGTGTGTTCCTTTAGGAACCAAAGGAAACAATGATAATGACTGTTTAGTGATACATATCCATTTTTAATTTATTAATCACGACTTGCAATACATCAGCCAACACTCCACACGTCTGTTCAAACTGTTGGGATTCACCCATAAATGTGTGGCTTCTGTAGTCACTCCTTCTTTATATGAAACAAAACCTTTCTGTAGAACCTTGCTCCTATCATTATAGTCGATCTTGTGTCCCGTTACTATCAAGGGAAGGTTTAGGATAAAATGGAAGAAGACAACCAACAAAAATGTGTGTTCAATTTCAGTTGTGGGAATTGTGACGCCGTTTATGTGGGAGAAACTTTCAGACAGGTGAACTTAAGAGTGAAGGAGTATAAAAAAATGTCTACAGACCCTTGTAGTTGCGAAGAATCTAAAAATAGATCAGCGGTTGTATTGCATTCGATAGAAATTGGACACAAGATCGACGTTAATGATAGGAGCAGGGTTCTAAAGAAAAGTCTCAATCCCTTCTTTATGGAGAAAGACTGACTGCAGAAGCCACACATATATGGGTGAATCCCAGAAGTTTGAACAGACGTGAAAATGTGTGAGGTGTTGGCTGATGCATAACAAATCCTGATTAATAAATGAAAGATGGATATGTATCACTAATTAATCATACTTGGTATAAATTCTCGATTGTTTATATCTTCTAGTGGAGAGGTTAACAAATGGTTTACAATTGTTGTCGCATGCACACACACATTACTGAATATCGCATACATATATTTGCCATATTCAGTTATCCGTAACCAGGAACTTTAGTTGAACGTAGGTAGTCACCAGAATTCTAATGAAAAAGTACACACTGTTTACAGTATTTAACAAAAGTAGACTAAAATTTGTAAGTCTGGGGTGAAATTTCAATCACACTTCATGAAATTTTGCTTATTATGCATCTTGTTGCCTGTTTCATATAATTGCTCAGGTTTTAAAAACAGAGAAAACAGAGGGGATGAAGATTCTTGGCTAACACCAACAACAACATAAAACAATCAGCCTGCATAAATGGGAGGAACCTGAGAAGAACAATCTCCTTTACCTACATGGGAATCATCGTTTTAAATACAGGCGGACAAAACTGACGGAGATATTAAAGCAAGGATCGGGAAAGCGAGATAAGCTTTCATTACTTTCAAGTCTGTGTGAAGGTCAACACCACTCAGCATGAAAATGAAAATGAGATCCGGATTTTCAACTCCAATGTGAAGTCAGTCAGTGCTACTCACTATACGGATCAGAAACTTGGCCAGCGCATCATAAAGTGCACTTTAAACAAACAACGCACCTTCATCAACAGCTGTCTTCGCTCAATACTCCGTTCAAGATCAGATGGCCGGCCTGAAAAGATCAGCAACAGGGTGGGATCTCTGGTAATGAGCAAACCAACTCAGCAGGATCCGATTGTGCAACAAATCTTCAGAAGAAATGGAGGTGGAGTGGCCATACTCTGAGGAAACAGACCATCAAGTGACATCATTAGATAGGCCATCGCTCGAGTAGAACCCGATCGACTTGGAGGAGGAGGAGGTGATGTGAAGAGGAGATGACGAAAGCATGTGGGCAGACTTGTAGCCAGGTGAAAACGTTGGCAGAGAACCGAACGCAATGGAGACGTGAGCGGCTGAAGCCCTATGTTCCCCTAGGAGTTAAAGGAAATAATATTAATTTTAAAAACAAGAGATATCCTTTTTATATTTATAAACCTCTGTTATGTTAATTTCGATTAATTTCCCTGAAGTAGTTCGCACCAGTTTGTTGAACGTAGGAGATGCTGGATTTGTTCATTTTTAATTTTGATGAGATTTAAAAAAAAAATCTATATAACATATTAACATATGAGATGAGATGGCTATTTCCTTATTACTGTCTAATACTGAAAAGATCAGAAACAGTCGTCAATAAATGGTGAATATTTTTTGACTTACTAGTTAAACTTCTAACATAGGCCTTAACAAAATCATTGTAGGCATATTGTTCCTCTTTGGATAAATTGCCCAAATACGAATCTTGTACTGATAAAGCTGGATAGAAAAGTGATTCCACGCAATCTTTGAATGGAGTTAAAAAGCCCTCACGTACATCATACTTCATTGTAAAAACATCCTATGAAAAAGAGAAAAGCATTTATAAGTGAGAATGAAGAACACAATTTATAACATAATAATAATAATAATATTAATTAGTGGATACGGCAGAAACACGACATCCAGGTAACCAGAAATATTAGTTCATTTGTTGCACTTAGTATATATATATATATATATATATATAAACTGACATTTCGTTTTGGATAGTTGTCATCAGGTTGGATACTTCTTAAAAATGTTTTCCCACACTTTACCTTCATTTATCTTTTATATATTTGTAAAACAGAAAGGTACTTATCACAAAACCTCATTATACAGATTCGGATAATTAATGGGTTGGAACGCATAGAAATCCATGAGAATAGTAAATGTTAGTGAATTCATTATCGTAAATAAGCATTGAAATTTCTCATTTGGGAATTACACAACTTGAGATAAGGAAACATTCGTCGCTGTTTCCTTTTGCAAGCCAAAAATATTCCATCTGCTTGACACTATGAATGCCAATCAAAGCCAAGTAGCACAATGGTATATACATCTGATTGGTTTGAGTAGTTGTCAGCTAGCTAGCTAGCCGGCCTTTGACAGCGTCGATAAAGAGGTGATTTGGAAACTACTTCGCTACCATCAAGGGCTGCCGCCAACAATTATACACCTCAGCCATCCAGCAGTTGTGCGACAACCCTGCATGCCAAGTAATCCACAATGGAAAACTCACGGAATCCTTCGAAGTGGAGACTGGAGTAAGACAAGGCTGGGTGCCTACTATCTCCAATGATTTTCCTAATCCCGGTAGACTGGATAATGCGACAGGCAGTTCTGGGCAGCACTGAAATAGGCATAAAATGGACCCACACAAAAAACTTCGAGGATCTGGACTTCGCCGGTGATATGTGTCTGATTTCCCACAAACTTGAAGATATGCAAATGAAAGGCCACAAGTCGGCAGGTTAATATAGAGAAAACAGCGGTGATGATGAAGTTTCCTGGCCAACAGCAACAACCACAATACCAACAGACAACAATCAGCCAGCATAAATGGGAGAAAACTGAGAGAAGCAACTACCTACCTACCCACCTACCTACCTTGGAAGCATCGTTTCAACTACGCGCACGTGGAACGCATGAGGATATAAAAGTGAGGATCAGGAAAGCAAGGAAAGCCTCCATCCCTCTCAAGTCTGTGTGGAGTTCAAAAGCACTCAACATGAAAAATAAGATACGGATTTTCAACTCCAGTGTGAAGTCATTGCTGCTTGTTATACGGATCAGAGACTTGGCGCCTCACGAAAGCCACTTCGGACAATCTACAGATCTTCATCAATAGCTGTCTTCGCTCAACAATCCTCTGGAGATCAGATGGCCGGCGAGAAAAGATCGGCGACAGGATGGGATCTCTGACAATTAGCGAACAAACCCAGCAGGAAGCAAATGTGCAACAAATATGCTGGAAGAAATGGAGGTGAATTGGCTGGCCATACTCTGAGAAAACCATCAAGCAACATCACGCGCGAGTCTCTCTCTCTTTCTCGACTGGAGCCCGAATGGGAATCGGCGAATCAGCTGGTCGCCAGTGTGAGGGTGACATGGAGGAGGTGATGAGAAGAGGAGTGACGTGGAGTCAGGTGAAAACTTTAACAGAGAACAGAAAACAATAGAGACGTGGGGCTGAAGCCCAATGTTCCTCTAGGAACCAAAGGAAACAATAGTATCATAATAGTAAGCTAGCTATATCAAATAGTATGACTTGCTAGTCAGACAGAAGTAACTGAAACACCAGGCAGCCGATTTTTACTCACAAGCCGTCTACTTCTCTATTACCAAATAATTTTGCGGAGAAATGATGAGATTCTCTCTACTCTCCTCGCATGTCAGCAAACTGATAGAATTGAGTAGCACGACACGAGTTAGCGTCCAGTCACAGTGGCCAATACATTGCTACAGCAGGTCAATCTCAAGCCTGAATAGAGCTATTTAAGCATATCTGGATGTGGCTCTGGGTAACACGGGTTCGGATCTGAGAGGGGAGATGAGTTGCTGACCGGTAAGTGTCAACTTAAAACGAAGCCTAGCCTAAAGGCTGTCTGTGGTCGTTTGCCGCCAACCATCTAATACCAACAATTCACAATGCACCTAGCATGAGAGGTTTAAATTGCAAACTTGACTGATAAAATTTAGTTTGCACCAAACAAAGGACTAGACGCATGATGCTACAAATGCTTGCAAAAAAGGAATTTAGCGACAAGGAAACGTATCTGTATTTAGAAAACAGAAAGATTGAGCAGCGAAGGAATATTAACTCTTCATCTTACTCTGGCTCTACTCTAAAATACACGTATAGCATTTTTATTACAATAGACAACAGTTCACCAATCAAGTGGGACTGGTATGTTTGTTAACAATAATTAAACAGCGTTAATGGGTTAATAGTTAACGAAGAAAATCAAACAATTTTAAAGGTTTAGGGGGAGGGAGGCGAAGTAGTCAGGTTGATACATTCATGTAACGATGGCCAATGAAGGTAAGGAGAGTGGCTGTACAAATTTCTTCTGAATACACACACAGGTTTGCCTTCTTCAGGTGGATTCCTATTGCTTCAGCTGTAGAGATCTAGAAGACGAACTCGTAAAGCAAAATTAAGATTAGTGGGAATGCGATAAATAATTTTAAATACAGTATTAACGTCAACCTTATGCTTACTGTCTGCAAGGTGTGCTACGAATAGATCTTGTTTGTCCCTTGCTTAACCATGCTGCTGGATGATGTTTGGAAATACGATGATGAACCTGCGTAATTGTACACCCAATGTAGCTGGCTTCTCAGCTGCAGTCGAACCGGTAGATACACATAGAAGAGGCAAATTTAGGTAGTTTATCCTTATTCCTGTAAAGTAGGATAGGGGTGGTTCTGAAGAGACACCGTACCGCCTCTGTTGCATAATAAGCTCTTTTAACTGCATTCTTCAGGTGCTCGCTGTGTTATTATTTCGCTAATGTTGTCACCGAGGAACTGCAGTTTTATGAACATCGTCACTTGATTAGCAAACCTGTTGTGTATTGTAATAAAAACGCTATACGTGTATTTTAGAGTAGAGCCAGAGTAAGATGAGGATCTAATTGAAGAGTTAATATTCCTTCGCTGCTGAATCTTTCTGTTTTCTAAATGTCTAAATGGGGATTTTTTCTATATCTGTATTTGTTGGAGGATTTCATAATGAGCTGAAATCAGTTAGAGAACCGTTCGAAAACGAACAGGTAGTACTCGACAGTCAGCTGTTTCGTCAGCCTCGTTTGAGATTCCCCTTCAGCACACATATACCATAGGGCGTTCGAACCCAGGACCACGTTCTGGCTACAAGGTGAGCTAATTCGTAGACCACTGAGCAGCCACTGGGACCTGATCCAATGGCCAGCCAGCCAGCCAGTGCATGAATTCTAACTTCTTACAAATCACGCAGGACATAACTCAACCACTTTACAATGTCTTCTTCGATGATGTCAGCTCATGATGATATCTATCCTACAACTGATCAAACAAAATTCCATACAAAACCAATACTTGAAAATATCTGCATTTATATACGACAGGCATCTAATATTTTATCATTCAGAGTAGTCTTCACTTCCCTCTACAACTCATTCAATATATTTCGTTCAAAAGAGTGTGTATACTGCATGTTATGTGTTTACGACATTCAGAGAACAGCACATATATATGTACATATGAGAATTATTTTTTTTATGTCCCCCTGCCTCCCCCGACGTTCCACTCTAAACCCCCAAGAAAATAAAAATTATTCACACTCATTAGTTGTATTATTTGTTTGGCATAATTTGTATTTTCCTAACATATATAGCCTATAGAAATTAGTTGATTTTTATACTCAGTTGATTCGGTGTTACTTGAGCTTAGTGTACTCGAGAGAAGAAGAAGAAGAAGAAGAAGTGGGGAAGAAGGAGCGAGTAGCTGTTGTTGTTTTTTTTTTTATTCACTTGAAGTGTAAAGTAATAAAATTTAATTCATTTTACGTTTAATTTCTTCACTGTGATGTCTGTCATCTAATGTAGTGTATGTATGTATGTGTGTATGCATGTAAGTATGCACGATAAATTAATTTTTAAGTTCTTTACCTTCTGATTACTATTAAATTTTCAAGGAATGGTTTTCTAGGGATTTTTTCTGCTTGCATGGAGGATTTCTTCAGGAGGTGATATCAGTTAGAAAACCACCGGAAAACCTGAAAGGAGTACAGGACAGCTGTTTCGTTGGCCTAGTTTGGGACTCTACATCAGTACGCACCCACCACAGGGGGTTTGAACTCAGGACTATCTGGTTACAAGAATAGCTAGCTAGCTCGTAGACCATTGAGCAACCACCGGGGCCCGACCCGATCCAATGGTCCTTCAATTCTAACTTCTGTCAATTCACGCAGGACAGAGCTCGGTCATTTCACAATGTCTCCTTCGATGGGATACTGCCTCATCTTCAACCTGCTGTACCCTGCTGGTCACGCCTTCCTACTAGAACCACAGGTTAACTGCCTGAATAGGGCCAGTCGCCGCTGAGCATCAGATTAATTTTTCATTCAATCAAATGAAATCCCTACAAAACCAATACAAGGAAATTGTAAGAAAACTAAACGTAGTCTGTCTAAAAACACATGGACTAACTTTATAAGTTTTGTTACTATTTGTCTGAGTTTCAATTCGTGGAAAATACCCATCGGGACATTAGGAGGAAAAGAACAAGAAGTTCAGCAAAGATGGCGGTCTTTTCGACAATATCATTCTCAATAGCTGTAGGTTAGTTTACGTGGACACAATTATTATGTGTTGAATCCCACATAGTAACGAAGGTGATAATAATTTCCAACTTGATATGAAAGTTTGAAGGTACAAATATGTAGATTACAAGGGGCTTAGAGACCAGATTGCATAGGATTAGAAAACAGTTATAACTTATGCTAAATTAATATTTGATAACTGGAGAAATACTAATATTAAAGGTGAATAAAAG